AGATACAGCCTTTTACACCACTTTGTTTTTGGATCTTTTATGGTTAATTTTGTGATTTAGCAAATTTTATTCATCAGTAGTCGGATTTCATTGATTGGCTCAAAGCAAACGTTACTTTAGATAGCTTTAATGTGAGCACTTTGCGGTATTTGGACATATTCGTCCAAGAAGTGGGAAATTTAAATCTTTGCATATCAGAATTGTCCTCACCTTATTTGAACCATTTTTTGAAAATGTTATCTTTAGTCGAAAAAAGTGAATATCACTGAACCTCATTCCATTTGAAATGAATTGAAATTATGCAGATGCTGCAGCAGCAGACAAGTAGGTGCATAGCCTCTCGAGTTACGATCTCCATTGATTTTTAAGAAGTTTAGATGGGAATAATTTTTACATAAAAATCGTAGAGAAAAAAAACCAGAAAAAAGCCTTCTCTGTAGAATTTTATGTAACTCAACTATAGAATGAGCAACACCAAATTCTACAAAAAAAATACTCTTTCATTTTTCTAAAGTTGTCTTTAATTGTTTTAAAAGGTATCGAGTTGTTTGCTAAATCTGGAAGGGAGATCGGGCAGTGGATCAGAGATTGAGCGAAATAGATTAAAGGCTGTAATCTTGTGTCTCTTTTAGAAGCGTCCTGTTAGTTAATGGCATATTCAGTGTCCAGTTGTAATTGTTTTTAGAGGACGTGTTACGCTGCAAACAATTCTAATGCTGTAATTTAGATATATGTTCTTAAAATAAGTAGAGCTATTGAAACGTGGACAAATGTATCGTGAATAATAGTTTTGAATACGCAGCTTTTGGACTAAAATTCAGCAACAGTCATTCTGAAGTCATTCGCAACATTTCTGCTGTTTTGCGTTGTGCTGCTTTGATTTTTTTTAACTTCCTGGTTTGTTTAGAAATTATACTGTAGCACTTTTACTTTTTTGTGTGTATGTGTTTTTTTTTCAGTTTCTTTTTGCTTGCTTGCAATGCATGCTTAATAACTGCAGGAACAGTTGCGCAAAAGGAATCAGATGGTCATTCAGGATAAACGGATCAATTTGCTTCTTCTGGAAATATTACAAGTGAAGTTCTACTTATGGAGCTTATGCATTCTTTGATTATGTTGTATGATCCATTCTGAAGTGGATGGATCTAAAATATCACTTTAAACCGCTTTATTCTATCAGGATTTGCATGTTCGCTCACTCTGGCACATGTTTCATTGCTTACAGATGATGCACATTCATGATAGAAATAAGTTGTTTAGTGTTTAATAAGGCGTTTGGTTGATTCCTAGATTTCTTCTCCTCCAAAATGTAGCAGTTAACTAAAAGACTGAGGAAGGTGGGATGAATTAGTTATACCAGTAGTTCAAGTTTTTGGATTTGCAGTATATTGAGTTGCATGCATGATATTTTCTTACCATATATTACTGCATGATATTCTCAATACGTATCATCTCTCCATATAATTTGTGCATACCAAGGGAACTGGCAAATATATAAGAAAGGCACGGTATACATTTCGTCCATTACGAAAATCCCTTTATAAAAGTTATGATTTTGAAGTTCCAGTCAGATGAGTATACATGGGAAAACCTCATGACTTTTGCATTATGTTTCCCTACTTAAGCTCTGTTTTAGGCACTGAAAAAAGTTTTTCCAACTTTTGGTGAACTTATATCTTTATGTGTCAAACATACAGATATAAGATATAAACATAAAGAAAAAATGGTTCTTTTAGATGGTTTATGAAAATATAGGATATCATGTTGATGTCGGTTCATAGATTAGTACGCAATCATATGGTAATGTTTGCCATTCTCGTATTTTTCATGAATGCTAGGTTTGCCAATTTGAAGTTTTTCAGCTTGATGAAGAATATAACGATGAGGATGATGAATCCATTCAGTCACTTATACAAAGGTATTTTTTTTACATGAATAGGTTCTCTTCTTGTAGATCTTTATCATTCAGATATTGAGCTACATGTTGACCATGGAGGTTGACGAATGCATATTACGGTTTATTCCATACCATATTTTTGGTTTTTTACTCTATGAATATAAATGTGTCAGTGGAATTTCTCCTTTATTGACTCTTGTTTATTAGGATTTATTTCGTACAAATATTTTTTAGTGTCATAAAAGTGAACAGTTGATTTTGAAGGCACAGACTTGAAATGGAGCTATTACGCGAGCGACAGCGTCGTGAATTGCAGCTAGCACGCCTACGTTTGCATCATCATCAGCTGGGCAATGGAAATACATTGCTGACAACAGTTGGAGGCTGTTTGGCTCGTTCCATCGATAGTTCTGGAAGTAGCCCACATGGTCCAATTCACATTCCGTATCATCCTATTACCAGTTCCCATATCACTTCTCGATTGGCCCTTCCTTCATCAATATCGCTTCCTGGTAGTCCACCACAGAATAGTTTTCTCGGACAACTTGCGCCGTTAAGAGATACCCTAGTATGTATTTATCTTATTGTTAATAATATATAATTTGGGACTGGTGGTTACCTACTGAATTCAGATGTTTATGTTCATTATTTTTTATGCTGTGATTTTTTTTATTTGATCAATAATTTCTTCACTTTTACATTTGTTACAGCCGCGACGAGCGTATGGGACCGGATCGTTGGCTGAATCTGCTCGTCACGCATCAGTTGATGCAGCGTTATCGCGAAGACCAATTCATCCCTCAGCTCATTATCCTTTTCAAATTAGCACTTATACAGTTGATCAGCATCGTCATCATCATCATCATCATCATCACCATCATCAACATCACCATCAGCAGCAACAGCAACAGGGAAACATCCTGAGCAACAGTTTAGATCATGGCTATTTTCATGCAGGAATTTTATCAAGACAACCAGTACCAACAATCATGCATAGAACAAGTGCTATCACTGAGGTCGCGCCATCGCTTAATTCCAACATTGAACGCCAGCTGCGCGAAACCTTTAGTACACCTCCGCAATGAGATATAGCAGCGCTGGAACTATAGTGGGCTCCTTTACCATTTCTTTTTCTCTCTCTCTGCTCTGATTTATTTAGACTGTATTATTATTTAATACTTCATTTCGATAAGCCTAATATGACTGTGACAGCTGTATCACTGAATACAGTTGTATGAGAGGTTTGAAAGACTGTTTGATTTATTCGTTAAGGAAGCTCTCAGTTGTTTGTACAAATGTAACATTCAAAAGTTTGTGTTTATAATCTTTTCAATTAGACTTGCAGTTGCATCCATTACATGTTCGATTGCATTAAACAAATGTTAGGTCTCGCACACTGTTGCTAATACTAATCATATTTAATAGTTTTTATTTATTTGTTTTCGGTTACATTCGTTTGTTGTCGGATGATGCATGCGTTTCTAGTCCATTTTTTTATTTGGAAAAAAATTTTTTTCACTGATTAAATGGGAACATCGTTTTCCGTTGGAAGCGTACTTTATTTACACAATCTCTCTTTTTTCCATTTCCGTTCCTTTGATTCGATTTTAATTTCGCAGATAAGTTTGGATTGAAGAACTTTCTCAATGTTTCCCAATAAATTAAATAGTTTTTCTCTGAGGTTTAGTGAAGTCGTAAGGCATGAATGAGATAAAAATACTGCAAAATTCCTTTTTTTGTACAGTCTTCCCTAAATGCATTTTTCAGAAGATTCGGGGGACTCTCTAGAAGTGGTTTAATGATAGTAGTAGCGATGGTGTTGGTAATGGTGATGGTGGGCAAAGTTTGTTAAAAAGACGCAAGCATCCCGAAATTGATCTCTGTTTACAAAGATACGATAACACATAAACGCAAGCAATTATTGCTTTCATGTTATTTAAAATCAATTTATTAACTTTTATTTGTTTATTCCATTCAGTTGCTCCCTTTTCATTTCTCTGGATTCCGACCCTTCAGGACAATTTCGGTATGGTTTCTGGATCAATTGCAGGGAGCAAAAGAAAGAAAATATCATTGCTAATTTCAAAGCGGAAAAAATTCTGTATTGTATTTCTGTGTCCCATTCTGTGTTGTATTTTCCTCTGTTTCTCTTTGTTTTTCCTTCGTTGTTATTGCTTTGGATAACTAGAAGTTTGCATCATGTGGACATCAGTGAATCGAACTAAATTTAAATTTGAATTTCACATGGCTGTATTTGGAATGTTTGAATAATAATATTTTTGCGCTTATATGACTGTAGTGCAGCCAAGCTTCGGTATAATGTTAGTAAACGTGTCTAAAAGTGCAAAACGAAGAAGGTATGTTAATTGTTTATTTCTATACAATTTACAAAGCAGATTTTTCGCTAGCTTTCCCTTCAGTTTGCAATATCCACCGGAAAAGATTATTATGGTTCGGAACTTGTAGGGAAAAGATATATGAATGATGGAGGAATTTCGATGGTTAAAAGTGTAAGGGTGGGGATTCTCAATTACCTTGATCGTGAGATATCTTGGTGACGTTCTTCCATAGTAAGACCACAATTTCATGTCATGACCGCTTGACAATCTGAGCTCGAATTATTTATGAGGAAACAGAGATGACCATTTTGAAATTTCTTGGTTCCCATTGAAAGTGTGTTTTGACTAAAAAAATTGCGTGGGTCGAGCGCATGAGTTGGCAAGAATCTGATATTCAGCACTGCTTAACTCTGATGAGATGCAGGAAGTCAGAATTAAGGACGACTAACCTAACTCTTGAAATGATGCGAGAAATGTCGGAGACTAAAAATTCAGACGGTTTGAATTGAGATTTGCGGATCTAAAAAACGTATGAATCTTAAAAAAAAAAAAAACAATTTTAGTGCTTGTTTGTTGTCAATTAAATGATTCCGTCATACATTCTAGTATCTCTTGCACTCCGATCATTATTTTAGTCGTGGTTGCTTTCCGAAATCCATCATTGCGGGTAGTCATGGAATGTCATCAGATGAGACAATCAGAATTTCCGTGGTAACCGGTTTTTTTTCTCCAAAGGTTCGCGCTGTGTTTTGTCAAGCGATATTTCACTATACAGTTTTCATTTTTAAGTAATCTCATCACTCATCAAAAGGGAAAAGGGAAATACCATAGTGCGTCAATCACTAAAACGATCGGTCATCAAATCTTATTTTTTTTTCTTTTTTTTTTTACATGAACTGACTTCGCTCGTCGCATCATTATCAAAAATTTGTCAGATGAACAATATCATGAACAATGGTTGATATTTTAATAAAGTTAATTCATTAGTAAATGAGAATATCGATGATTTGAGAATGCTTTATCATGTTAGTATGTTTGTGAAAAAAGTTTTTCAGAAGCTTCCGAATGGAAGTAAAACGAGTAATCTGAAATGAACTTTGAAAATCAAATGTCACAACATTTTTCAAACTATATATATATATATATATATATATATATATATATATATATATATATATATATATATATATATATATATAGTAGTAGTAGAGAGAGAGAGAGAGAG